TCTGACATTCAGATGATGAATTGTGATTTTGTTTTAAAAGCCAGACATGTCAACTCCATGTGCATATTGGGAATTGTAGTTCAAGTGACCTCTGCTAAAACACTGACCTTAACAATGACTTTGTTTTACATTTCCCAGAAACTTTTAAAGTGGGTGTGATACTTTCCAAGTGCAGTTGTTGCGCTAATATTAATATAAAGTAATTTGAAATATTTTTGACACCTTTGTTGTGGTCATATATTACATGACATGAAAATGAGATTCAGTGAACGGCTTAAAATTAATTCTATTTTGGGGTCTTGGTAACATCATAAACCCCTTGAGATTCACCTGTGTGATGTATAATGTCACTGGATAAGAAGATACTCTTCTAAAACTCTACAGCTCATCCATCCTTGCATGCAATAAATAAATACATTAAATATACATACGGATGAGTGTTTATATTGGTATATATGAAAGAGGATTAGATAACACTCAAGGGAGACTCCATGGACTGTAGGGGTCTTAAATCTGATGAAGGAAGGTTGATTCAGTGGACTTCAGAGACCTGGATCTGCTCCCTTTTCTGCTGCAAGTTCCTTCTATCTGACCTTGGACATGCCATTTAAACCCAAATATTAAAGTATTTAGGCTTCTGATTCCTGTTGAGATGCCCCATTCATGCTGATTTTAGTGGGAATTTAAGATGTGAAAAGGAGCTGGACACCAAAATAGCTTGAAAGATCAGGGCTATTTCTCTGGGCTTCAATTCTCTGCTTTTAAGATGGAGATACTACTAATTCACAGGGACTTTGCTTGGGTGAGAGCATAAAGGATCATTAGGCAGCATGGTCCTGCAAGCTGTACAGATGTGTGAAGTCCTGTCTCTGATTCCCTATGAATAGCTTCATGCTCTATATAGGTAGAATTATAGTTATATCAAATGAAAACACAATTAAGATCCAGAATTGGAGCTGATTGGCATAACAAAGCTGAGATTTACTGCTTCCTTCACCAGACCAGTGCAGGTTCTAACACAAATCATGCCTCTTAGCCTTCAATTTGATAAACTTTCAGCTATTTTGACATGTAGAGCCAACTGCAGCCCACTCCATCCTGACAAAAAGAGCCTAACAAATGGATTTTCAGTCACCCACTGAACAGAGCTAGATGACAGATCTACATGAAATCCTTTTTGGAAGGAAGGCAGCCTTTTAACTTGATTGATGAAATTATATCTAAATCTGGTAGATTTGGGACTTCAAAGGCATTTTTGCCTACTTAGGGCATCCCAGATGAAGGGAGTATGCTATTTGTACCAAACTCCCATGCTCAAGTGGTTTGCAAATTGACCCCTTTGTAATAGGTTAAAGGTTCCGCGCTAGATAACGGTGGTTCATTTTGATTAATTATGTCAGGGAATTAATGTATGATTACTAACTTTTAGCAGACCCTGCTCTTTCTGACCTCGAGCTGCTTGTTTGTGTGGCTGGTTGTAATTTTCGACCAATGGGTTACGAGAGGTCACTGTGTGGTCAGCATATTTTAAACAAAGAAAAGAGAGGTGGGGAAGGGGGGAGCAGAGAAACAGCAATCTCAGATCAGAGTGGGTGGACTACAGTTTACTGGCCTGACAGGGGAGATTTGTTAAGTGTTTTAACAGTAGAATTTTATACATTTACCCTTTCCAATAAAATATTCTTCTGAAGAGCTAAGAGAATGGCCTGGAAAGATGTTGGGAGGATAATTTAACAGCTGAATGTTAATCCAATAATTGCACTTCATACTGGTTTCAGTAGTAGAGAACCTTGTTAAAAAATAAATTGGGCAGTGTTCTGTTTAGCACTTGGATTGGTTGAAAGCAAGGCTGGAAGCTTCTTGTTAAGCCAATGCCTGGGAAACTGCTTACAAATTTCCTGGCCAATCACTGAAAAGTTAGCAAAGGTTGATAAAACAAGGTTTTGTGGGGATTTAGCTCCATTTCATATTTGAAGCTCTTGGGTGAGTATGTGAAGTCATCTGAGAGTTTCTAAAGGCTAGAAAGGATATATGTGAGACCAAATCCTGTAAGAAAACCTGCACGCTGAATCAACTGTATTCACTGTGTTTAATATTGTGTTCAATAGGATTGCTCATGCTGAAAGTGAAGACTATGCCTGGGTCTTTACAGGACATTAGCTATACTATGAAAATCATGGTAGGCTACTGTGTAGATGAAGGGACTAGGAACCAGGAGCTTTACATTCTTCCAGTCCTTGCACAAACTCGTGGTGTGATTCTGGGAGGGATTTTGAGGCAGAGGAATCTAAGCACATGCTTTTAAGGCAACAAGTAGAAATTGAGTTTTAAAGATACTACTATACAAGAGCCATTGGATAAGGGATACTTATGGCTTCTGAAGATCAAGTAATACTTATTGTTGGGCCTAAATAGAATTAAGTAAACAACAACAAATGTAAAACCCAAATTGCTGTTATCTTACCTGGGCCTCAGTCTTATGTTAAAAATGGGTCTAAAATGTCTACCTTGTTTATAGGAACTCCAAGAGGCTTAGTTCATTAATGTCTGCTCTGTGCTTTATGGTCCTTAGATGAAAGGCACTGCTGATGCTTAAAGAATGATTATTATTATAATACTTGTTCTAAGAACAATAGGCACATTTGTTTTATTTTCCAGCAAGCCCCTTCAAACACCAGGGTGTCCAATTAAGCTGTAGTCAGAATAAGGGCTAGGTCTTTGCTGAAACTTTTCCAGTTTGCTTTGGAAACCCCAGTTTTATTCTGCTCTTGGTTTGCCTATATGGAGCTCTCTAGTTGGCTTTGGATCTCCTTGATTTTGTTGTTCCTTGTAAAACTGTGCTTTTGCCAAACTATTTGTGCATTTTAAGTGAGAACATTATTAAAAAGTTTTGTAAGAGGAGAAAGGGGTGCTATTTGTTTAAAAATATGTGGTGTTATTTGGGCCATGAAAAGACATTTAGAGCTAAAAAGGTGTGACATTCACAGAGAGAGGGGAAGAATTTGAAGTAAGAAAGAGGTGGGAAAGGTAAGGACAATGAATGTGACAAGAAGACTGTGTATGGAGACAGAGATAGCTGTGATGGCAAAGAAACAGAGAAGCTGAAGAAAAGAGAAGTATTTGGAGGTGTGTCTGTATATATACACATACAAACATGAGAACCTGCATACATGTCTGTTACGGTTTGCTAAAATTGCCTGGTTCTTTGAAAAGTCACCTCATATGAAAAGAAGACAAGCAATAAGAGTTAAGATTTGTTTTGGTGGTACTGGAAAAAGCAAATCTTGGACAGATCTCATCAGGCTGAGCTCTTCTAATCAGTTGGCACACAGCTGATCATTGCTGCTTGCCCTGCAGCTTTTACTGGCCAACCCACACTGAGTGTAATTCAAACTAGTGTCTTTTGTCACTAAGTAAGGGAAAACTTGTGTCAGGCTGACGATTCCTGAAGCCAGTGTCCCATTCACAGAGGGAGCTATGAGCTGATACTTCAGGCAGGAGTAAGCTACCCTGCATCCTGACCCTGCTCCGTGAGTGACAACCAGGAATTCAGTTTCCTACTCCCTGCTTTGACTATTAGGCACAATTGCCTCTTGAGCTCTTCATTTAATGGAAAGTCTCACAGCTGCTGTCAGAGCATGAATGTCACTATTATTTACTTATTTAGTCATTTTACAGTAGTGTTAGGGATCTCAGGCAGGTCGTTGTACACACATTTAATAAATGGCAATCCTGCCTCAAATGATTTACAATCAAAGCTGTTGATTCAGGAAAGTACTTGCACATACATGCTCTTCAAGTAATCACTAAAGCACATGCTAACTTGCTGTCATACATCAGATGAAAACATCCTTCAATGCTATCTGGCCAGAATTATAAGCTGAAAATACAATAAGCTGTGGGAAAATTAAGAGTTTGGGGGAAGTAAGGATTTCAGGATGTGCTAGCAGTGTTATAACATTTTCATCTGGGATTTTTAAGAGTGAGATTTATACAATCATGTTGTCTATCTACCTTTAATAACTCTTAAACTTGGACAGTATCAACCACACTTAGCAGAAGGATGGGCACTGCTGGATTAAATGTGGGTCTGTGGGCACAAGCACAAAATCCTCAGTTTATGCAGTCCCTGAAGTGCATCTAGTGCTCGAGTCTGCATGGCACCCAGGTGGCTGGAATTGCTCACTATGGAGACAAGCATCACCCTGCTTTTAGCCACATGAGAACCCACGCTGCAGAAAGGTCAACATATCATGTTTTAGAAGTTCCACTTCCCAGGGAACTGCTGGCTTATTTGTTTTTGATCATAAGGGGATGAATTTCTGAGCCCTTTGAAGGTGAAGGGAACTTGGTGTTGCTTCCTATGGAGCTAGGATCATACCCTGTTACACAAAGTGTGGGGACAGAAAATATTTGTTTCTTTTGTTAACAGGGAAAAACAAAGCAAACTGAGAGCAACAGTCTTTGGGGCTGCTAAAGAATGTGCCAGGCTCTGGTAGCTTTTTATATGTTTGTACATCTGAGACTTGCATTTTCATGCTCTTGTGTGTGCCCAGATTTTGGTGCTTGCACATGCGCTGATTAAAGAACAACTCCGAACAATGCTCTTTAATTTAACGATCTTAATAAGCACATGGGGGAAGTGTCTTTACTGTATAGACACAGACAATGCTACATGCTTCAACATGAAACATAATTAGGGTGTGCAGTTAAATAAAGGGGTGAGGGGGAAGGGGACATTTCTTTAAAAATGAGAGCAGAGGTGACTTCCAACAAAACTTCAAAACCAGCTTGGCTAACAATGAACATAGCCCCATTCTTTTTAATCATCAACAAAATCTATCACACATGTTCTTTCAAGTAAAGTTTATTAGAAAGAAATTGCTACTAGAGAACCACATGTGAGCTCTGACTTGGCAAGGTCAGGCCAGGGCAATAAACCCTTGAACTTTACAAATATGCAAAGCTGACATAAATAACAAATTAAACCCAGCCAGGTGTAGAGCTGCAGTGAGCTGTTTGCCAGAAAGATTCAAACTCTGCCCGGCGTGACCTCTGTTAGCTCGTGTGGAGAGTGGGGGCTTATCTCCTCGGCTTCTTGTCCTTTAGGGTTCATACCTGTGGGCTCAGGTCACCCTCTTCTCATTAGCTTAGAAAAATTATATCACTTCATTAGAGGTGTTTGTTCAGCTTCTGAGTGTCCTCAGGCGTTTGGATGCTTTGCTGGGTGAGTGCTGATTTTGTCAGAGCTGGAGACTGGGTGGTTTGGGTCTTCTTTGAGGGATTAGTCTGGGATCAAGAGAGTGTGGAGATGCAGGATTTGGTGAGATAAGATGGGAAAAAGAGGGCTGGGGTCTTTGACCGCTGTACAGGGTGATGTTATACCCCAGACTGTTGAAGTCTGGAAAGTAGTATGGACCACAAGCTGGTTCTGTGAGCCTGAGAGCTGCTGCTTGAGTAGCTCACAGAATAGCACAACACCCCGCTGCTATTTTGGATGAAGCTCTAAGAGGTGTTTTAGGAAAAAGAGCTGATCCTTGCACCAGTTTTAGCCATATCTGTTGCAGCTTCCCTGGGCAATCAGGACTTTATTAGAGGTGCAATTCTCACTGTAATCAATCATTGTATCATTCTGAGCATCACTGCCAGATTTCTAGAGGCATCCAGCAGCAGATACACCATCTCAGTGGGGCTTTCAAATGTCTCTTAAGCACATTAAGCACCTAACTTCCACCGAATGCTCAAGGGGTTTTTAAAATCCCACTATATGTCTCTCTGCATCTTGCTCTTAAACAAGTGCTTAATTTTAAGTGCAGGTAGTTTCATTGATGTGTATAGCTCTACTTGTGTGGTTAAAGTTAAACATGTGCTTAAGCGTACAGTTAAACCGTGGCTGGAATGGGTGGGGGAGGAATTTGATGCAAACATACAGTGCTTTAAATATAAATGTTTTACTGGTGCACCTTGATTTTTGGATACTAGTCTGAGGCAGAAGCAGTGCAAAAGAAATGTCTCTTTGACTTGAAAATTAAAGGAATCTGTACAAAAATGGAATAATATGACACACTGGGATATGAGGTTCTGCAGAATCCCTTTACAAGTGTAACTAGGCTTTACAATGTCTTTGCCATAATTGTTTTGTCTTTTTTATTACGTGCAAATCTAGACCTCTTACAAAATCACTTGCCCTGAGAAGCAATGCTCTGTAGTGACTACTAAGCTGTAGGGTCATCTTGAAAAACGGATTTCACCTTTCTGTGCTTCTATTTCCCTCCCACTGCCTTTACTATTTATATTATAGGAACTCTGGGGCAGGGATGGTCTCTGCGTTTGCATAGCTCTCTCTCTTTAATGATGGTGTCTCTCTGCTGGGACCACTCAGTGCTGTCGTTAGTAAAACCTAGTGACTTCCTTGCACAATGAAAACAACAGTAGGAATAAGTAATCAGGGGAAAAAAGACCCCTCTTTCCTAGCTACTTCAGGTTTTAGTTTTGTCTCTGAGTCACAGGTTAGGTCTCTTCAACACATGAGGTTTATATAGACTTGTTAAAGAGATCTGTCCTGATAAATGGGTCGGATGCTTTTTATAGAGATCTCCACTGGGTCCACTCCATCATAATGAAGCTTCAACACAGGCCTCCACAGAGCTCCAAGAGAGAAATCCAGGAAGGAGAAAGTGAAGGGAGATTGGGTGAGTTTACACTATGTGTTAAGTGGAAGAGCTGCAAAGAGGTTGGGAGACTTGTCATGACATGCAATTAAAGGCTCCTCTGGGAGTGTCTGTATAAACTCTGCATATAGCAGAAAGAAAACAGACAGCTGACAGTTGCACTGTGAAGTCTTAGAAGAATATACAGTGTTCACTGCTGACACTCAAAGGCAATTTCGCTGAGTTCTGTGAAGTCTAAACACTCTTACTTGGAGTTAAGGACGATTTCTGTCAAAGAAGAGCTTGAATTTCTATTCTAGTTGTTATAAGTTATCTTCTAGGAACCTCTCTTGAACTGAACTTGACATATACTTTGTTTTAGTTATGTTTCCGTCTGATGAAGGCCCTTGCAAGAGCTTTTTTGCCTTTGCTATTGATTGTGGCTGGAGCGTGTGACAGGTATCCCATCTGCCCTGTTCCTATTCAGATAACATTCTGTGACTCTTGGGCAGGGATTTTGTTGTGTGTCTCAGATTTTCTACCCAGATTATCTGTGTGTGGCACATCCAGGAGCGAAAATGGGGAGATGCAGGGAAAAAATAAGTTCTGCAGGACTTTGAGTACAAGGGAGCAAATAAATCTTGCCTGGAAGGTCCCAGTCCTTCAGTACCTTGAGTACTGTGTTGATGGTTGAGGCTGCTGGAAAGATGAGAAGAAAATTCTGATCTACCAACTCCTTTGGCCACCTTTTCCTTTGCAGTGTTGGGAAAGCTGAATGAGGGTCTGAGCTGGTTTGACTACTTGACATATGTAATTAGAAGGAAATCTCCACAGGTCTGCTGTGGAACTTGTGGTCAAAATGAAAAATAACTTGGCATAGTCAGTGGGGACAGAAATCCAAACCTCTATCAATCTCATTTAAAGTGAGAGCTTTAACCTATGTTTCTCTTAGTGACATGGGTGAGATTCTCAAGCAACAGGCTGTTGGCTATTTTGGTAAAAGCCCACATTAAACATGATGTTTCAATTGGTCAGTATTGCAAGGTGGCTTCTATTTACTCCAGGAAGATCTTTGATCTGTGTCAGGTAGCCTGTTGTTCTTCTGATTCCTATAGTTACCAGAACAAAAGGGAGGAAGTCACTGACCCAAAGAAGTAGACAAAGAAATTGCCATTTCTTTGACTTCTTTTATCAGGTCCTTTATAAAAAAGGAAGCAAGATGTAGAGAACCTGAGCATCATTCACATCATCAGAGACGTTATCAAAAAATATTCTGGCTATTTGTTTTTGGGATGGGATGACTTTACTATACAAATACCTTAGAAGTCTTCTAGAAGAAACTCAAAGAGATTTTCATTTCCTTCTAGATATAGGGGAATGGCAGATGAGAAGCAAACAACTTGGAATCCATCAGAGAATTTAGAGTGCAAATTTAATTTATACAGGAAGACTGTGGTGTTGGGAAATATAGAAAACTCTAAGTTTTGATGGTTGGACCAGGCTCAGAGCCTAAAGGCATATATCACTGAAGAGTATTAAATATTTAAAAGAAGGTTTATTTAGAGTCCTCAAAACTGACAGGATCTTAAATACAAGATCATATGGCAAGAAAGCTCAACATCATTCTTGTCAGGGTGAATTAACTGTGGTGCATAGCCCTGTATAAATAAGCAGCCATGGAAATTCCCAGCTTCATTTAAAGTCCCCAACCCCAAAATCCTCTCCACTCAGAGGATGAAAGAATATAGGCCGGGGTAGAAAGAAAGACTCAAGCCCTCTGAGCAATTTTATCAACACATATTTCTCAGGTAACTCCTCAATTATTTTAACAGCAGAATACAGAAGGGTTGTATTTCAAGGGTCCATTGTTTATTGCCAAGTACAACTGGCATTGGTTGAAATGAATGACATTTATAATGCATTTTGTGATACAATTTCTCAGTTAAATCTTTCCCTTCTAGTTGTTTCTTTGAGCTTTTGGGGAAGTGCTACTCCTCAGGGGAGGAAGATGTTATTATTGTAAGGAGATTCAGTCAGGCTGTACCTGACTCATTGAGAGTATTCATCTGTATCTTTTTCAATCCTTTTCACTACTGCATCCTCCTGCCTCAAAAAATGGCTCCTCTTGCTTAGACTGCTGAAATTTATGGCAACACAGAAAATAGTTTGGCCTAGTAAATTATGATGATCTGCACGTTGGTCATGCTGGTTTAAAGGACATGGGACTCCCCTAGAGAAGTGGTAGACTCTGAAAGGAGCCTTAACCAAAAGCCATGGTGGTGTACATGTTGTGTTATGGCAATGTGGACCACGTCTTATCTTGTTTATGCATCGTAACGTGTCTTGAGAGCATTTGCCATGCCAAAAATTCTCCTTCCTAAGCTACAGCAGAGAGCTGCCAGCATGGTATTTGTACTGCCGTGGAAGCCTTCCTCCAGAAGGTCAGTGGGGGAGTGTAATCAGTTTAGAACTGTATGTTGTAACTTACTTGAATGAAAGATTTTTTTTCTAAAGGTGACATTAAGATGAAATATTTAAGATAAACCAGAAGATTTGACTGGAAATTCGCAATGTCCCTCTGAAACAGTCCACGCTGATTTAGTGATCTTCCATTTTCAATTTATGAGCTGAGACCAGAGTATACCACTGGAGGATGAGAATAGAGTAGTCATATTAGAGCCAGCTCATATATCCTGCAGACAGACTTTGGAAGAATTGGAAAGTATAATAAAGTGCTTGTCCCTTTAAGACACTGCTTGGCTCCTTGCCAGTTTAGATCCTGGAGCATTAGATATTTTAAAAGCCCTTAAAACTGTCTCTTTTCTTCTTTTTTCCTTTTTTTCTTTTTCTGTTTTTTTTTTTCCCCTCTCGTTGTCTGAGGTTTTCACCTTCTAACAATGAAGAAACAATGGTAGCAGCATCCTTTGCTTTAGGGAGGGATGAATTCTGTTCCCCATCACATTGTTTTAAATATGAGATAACACTTTTGAAGGCAAAACATGTATATGGCATATATAAGAGCGAGAAAGCATCTCTTGTTTTAAAAAGCAGATTCTTGGTTTTCCATAGGAGCAGTAACACTGGGATACACAAAGGCACCCAGGTACTTTTCAAGTGTATAAATACTGCCAGGGCACTGCAGTGACCTTTGGTCTCTGACATTTTCAGCTAATGGTCACCGTATGTGGCAAAAAAGCTGACCCTGCAATTACTGTGGGACCTGACTGGAGGCTTGGATGTCTCCTTGGAGGGCAGCCACCTTATCAGTGAGCTCAGTGACCCATGGGTCAAATGCACAAGTACCAATGTGGGCTCTACTGCAGCACCCAGTGTAATGCACTCGATGAGGCTGCTCCTCCCAGGAAGAGTCAGAGGGCTTTAAAGATGTCACAGTTACTCTGGAAGTATTTCTAAAGTGAATTCTGTTTAAAACCAACCCCTCTGCTAAGGGCTTAAATGACTAACTCTAGGATTTTATTTGAAGATACTGTCACGGGATGTTTTTTGGAGGGCTCTGTTTTGGCTGAGCTCTGCAATATAGTTTGATGCAAGATAGAAGGAATTTGGGAAAAAATGGAAATGCGGTGTGGGGCAAGAATAAGCACAAAGAAAAATAATAGGCCATCAACCTGGGTTCATTTCCTGAACAATACAGAATAGAAGGACACAGGGGGGTCTTTTTGTGTCATAGCAGATGAATGGAAACTTGAGATTCACTCCACTATTTGCTGTTCTTCAGCCCTAACTTTTCTTCTGGTTTGGACTTGGGCAGAGATCCCTTTCAATTTTAGGCAGCAATTTCTTCTCATGCAGTGGGGAAATAAAGCCTGCTGCAAGACTTCTTTAAGGGAGGATACAATGTTCCTTTCCTCTCTTCCTGGAGATTATAAGATAATGCATCTGGAACAACATTAGCTCATCCAGGTCTGTGGTTTTATTTTTGATAATCAAATCCCAGCAATCTCTTTCTCCATCTGCCTGAGCATGTTTTTGGGTAAGGGGTAGATGTCAGCTACCACACATGGCTGTGGTCAGCTATTGTGAGATCTTCTAAACATGAACAGAAAAGTTCCGTATTCTAAGTTATATCTAAACATTCTTTTTTCTCTTGTGCTGTATTTTCTTTCTGCAGCTGAGAGAGTTATGGTAGTTCAGGCCAAGAGAACATGTTTATTTCTCCTTTGGTAGTGTTTACTCAGCAGACTCCCAAACTTGGGTTCAGGCTGCATTTACTCTCAAATGAGAATTATTCTGATGGCCTCAGCCTTATTCGATATATTGCAGTGTCTATTTGTGTCAAGAGCTAGCATTAAGTCATTGTCTGTCTGGATTAAGTGTTAAGGGTACAATGAAGAGTCTGTGGACATCTTGTTAGGAGACAGCTGGCCAAATCAAAGTAGGCTTTCTTCGGAGTCTCAGCAACATCTGCATTCCTAAACAACGAAAGTATTTCTTACAAAACCAAGTGGGTTTTCTGTTAAGTTTAGCCTAGAAGTGAGATAATTATAGGAAAAAAGCTGAAACTCATCTTAGGAGCTTTTAGGAGCTTATGACACTTTGTTTGGCCTTTTGTGAAGGCTATTAGTCATTTATCCCCTTTCAGCAGCTGAGCACTGGTGTGCAACATCTGTGCTGTGCTTCACCTTAGAGCTTCCTCGGGATCAGGGCAGCAGAGATGGAGTAGGTCTTCTTCCTTCTAGCATCAGCCTCCTGTCTTGGATGTCTGACTAGCTCTAGTTCACAAGGTTTTGCGTTTTGTCAATGAGAACATCACATTTTTAGTGACTTATGCAAAAGTCTTTTTCTTATAATGTAAATTCTATAATGTTAAGTCTTTCTAACAACATCTCTGATTATTGATCGTACATCTAATAAACACATCCATAAAAGACAGTAGTTTTAATTACACTCATATAAATCATGAAGAGACATGAGGTTTGTGTTATCTTTTTCATTAGTCACGATGCTCCAATTTTTAAACTTATCTGGACCTGTATGTCAATAGAACAGTTTTATGAAGCAGGGCATCTTCTTCTAAAACC